TCCCAAAATTGGGGTGGGAGGAGAGGGGGGAGGACACCGTTGCCTTTTATTATCTTAAATGATCGTGTGTGGTTTTTTTCCCTGTGTTTTCTTAGTAAGATAAATCTGTGCTATATTTTTCTCAGAAGATTACAGGTGTACTCTGGTAGTCTTAATATGTGGCGATTAGGTTCCAAAATCTGACAGATTTGGAAGACCAGAAAAATTCTTTTTGTTTTTTTTTGTTTTGTTTTTTAATTTAACAAATGTTTTGGTAATTCTTCTGCACGATACTGTTTTTAAGGATAACCACTAGGAGGGAAGTAGCTACTGTAGCTGTGTTAATGGCATAGGCTGGCGGAAGGTCTGTGGAAGGCACTTAGGGGGGAGTAGAGAAGCTGAAACAGCACAACAGCCCATAATTTTTTTTTCTATTACAAGTTGTATATATAATTGGCTTTTTTAAAAAATGAAGAAGAAGAAGGAACAAAAGCAATGCGTAACGTTGTGATGCAGGAAGTGGAGGAGAGTATTATTCTGGCTTGTGAGACACGGCTTCTGTTTGTTCCAAGCTCAAGGCTAATTGCAAACAACTGGCTGAAAGGGGGGAAAAAAGGAAAAGGAGTTTTCTGGTTTGCTTAGGAATCAAATTTTATTAAGGGTTTGGCCAGGGTGGTTTTTATTTTCTCTTCTTTTCAGTTTTATGTTTTCCAAGAGTACAAGGTTTACACACGCATTCTCATAATGTGACGCAAGCCAGCAAGGCCAAAAATGTTAAAAGAATATAACGGGATCTTTTCCTTGTAAAACTTGTACAGTATGTGGTGACTTTTTTCAAAATGCAGCTTTTTTGTACATGGTTTAAAAGACAGATTTTGTACATGAAAATCCCCTAGACCAATAGACTCTCAACAATTCTGAAGGATCTTAAAACTAGTTAGAAATCTCTGTAGTTGCTTTTAAATCAATTTAAAACACACTTGGGGGTTCTATTTTTGTTTTGTTTTTTGACTCTCTTCAGAATGTGCAAAGACTGGAAGCTGGGTTTGCATTTCTACAATGATGACTTTTGCTCTGCAAAGAGTTCCTAGTAACTTCTTGAGTGTGGTAGATCTTGGAACATGTAAATTCTTTGCTCGTAATGTTATCCTGTGGCTAGGGTTTTTGGCCGAAAGCTGGCTACCCTGTTTTAATTTTGGGTCTAAATTTAATGTTTTCTGCAAAGAGAAAAAAAATGCACTGAACTCTCCACTACAAGTCAAGATGTGGTCAAAATAAAACTATCAAGGCAAATTGCGATCTAATACTACTGTCAGTTTTATGTCCACTGTGTTTTATACAGTATCCTTTTTGTTCACTTTGGAAATTTTTACTAAAAGTTGCAAAAAAAAGTATTGTGCAAACAGATGTAAGGTTTTTGAAACTTGAAATGCATTAATAAATAGACCTGACGAAATTAGCCTGGGGAGTGACTTGTTTCTCAAACAGTCAAAGGTTCGGCTTTCTTGCGGCTTTAAAAGAAGCTGGCTTTGTTTCGTGTGAATTCCCACTTTAGCGGAACATGCGGCGGCAATGCGCTTTTCCGACAAACGCTTTGTCGCTTGTCCGCCTGTGCTTTCTCGGGCAGGGGGAGCCTGGGAGTGCCCTGTTTGGCTTCTGTCTGCTGTTCAGGTTGCTGTTGAACATGCGCACGTAATAAATAGGTCTGCGAGTCAGGATCAACCCCCACCCCACCCCACCCTGGTCTATATAGCTGGGAAGAATGTCTTCAAAGCTTGAAGAACAGAGTGTGAAGAAACTGAAGGAAAAATTAGTTCGAGACATCCGGTCTCATTATTATAGGGCTGTTCTGTATTTCATGGCCTTCTCTTTGGGTTTTTTAAACTGAGATGCCATTTTCAGCACGGTCACTGGAAAGAATAGCAAGTCACAGTAAAAGTGTTCTGTCGGAGAGCTCTTGAATGTATCTGTGCGGTAGGAAGCAACATACTCAGAAAAGATGTGTACGGCTGCACACACCCCTGTCTGGAGAGGAGCAAACTCCAGATTTTCCCCTGCACTGGAAAAGACCTCTTTAAGAAGGGATCGTTAGTAAGCCAGGTTTCCAAATATTCTTTGCTATCCTTCTTTTAAATGTCTCTCAAAGTACGTTTTTCTAATGAATAATGTATACAGATGCTTTAGCAAAACACCCAAACGGCTGGATAAAGAGGAAGCAGTGCTTGTTTGCCTCGTTAAGAGGGTGAGTGAATAGAGACGACAAAGCAGCTTGGATTTTTTTTTAAAAAAAATGTTTTAAAGTAATGATGTATTTTTCAAATGCAGGCATGGCTGTAAAGAAAGAATTCCAGAGGACTCTTCAGTATTTTTACAGGCCTTGTTAAAAGTACATATAAAACCCTGCCAGCTTTGCAGTAATTTCTTAACATCTCAGAAAATTTGGCAAGAACGCCGTCAACGCTTGGCGGGGATGTCTCCGCTCCGCACGGTAACAAAGAAGAGTGAGAGGCCTCTCATCAGTTGAGATGCGTTCACCCCTCAGGGGCCGATGGGTTTTGTAGTGCACATCAGCATCACCACTGCCTAGTGTTAGGACCACATCTACCCCCAACTGGGATGATGGTTTTCTGTTCCTGCTTTTTCTGACCACCACTTCTTCTGACACCTGACGGAGAGTCTTGTGACCCTGAAAACTTGCACACTACGGGTTCTCTCTCTCTTTTGGGTTGATCTACTTAACAGGATTTCCCTAATTGGGGAGTTTAGCTTTTGGACTCTGCTTAAGGGTGCGCACGGCTGCCTGTGCTTCCTCTGTTTTTAGGACTGTTTCTACAGAAGGCCCTTTGGATCCTGTCCAGCTAAGCCCCCAGGGTTCGACCCTATGAATGGTGCAGGGTCAGGCCATGAAGCAAAACCTCAGCTTGGAAAAGTGACTTTTCCAGGCTGCGCTTCCTGGAACCTCGCCCCCCCCCCCGCACGGCTATCCTTCACCTGTACCTGTGCCAGGCACAGCAGGGAAAGGAGGAAGCGACCCTTCAACGCCTAGATTCACAGCTGAACTTTACAATAATGGGGGAATAGCAGTTGTTTTCTCTTTACCCGTCTCCGTGGGGGCAGAAGGGTTTGAAGAACTGGCCTGTACTGTTATATTTTCCTGTTCATTTCCCCTGCCTTTTGCAACACTTTGCCCAAGGAATGGTTCTGGAGAACCTGAAGCATGCACACAGATCCATGCCTTTTTTTTTTCTTTGAGGGGCAGAGATGGGGCTTAATAAAGTCACAACTATAATACAGATTTTGCACTTCAGCAAAGCTACCCCTAGTGTTCTGTACTGTTTCCCTCTTTAGAGGTTTAGGAGGTCTAGTCCTGGGATACCAGGTTATTGATCATAGACTTCTATGTTTCTAGAAAGAAAACCACATGTAAATAAGCATCTGCGGGTGGTTTGCGTTGATTCTATTACCAGATTCTCTAGAACGTTGTAGACGGTGTTTTGTAACCACTGCACTATATCTTCTGCTTCAGGTTGCATGAAAATATTAATTCATGCAAGTACCACGTGCCTTGAAAGCTGGGAAGTATTCTTTTATTACTGCTATCTTGATTTCCGAATCTCTCAGTGCTCAGAGTTCTGATAATTCAACTGTACCATTGCATAACAGTTTGTTGTAAACAAATTTCGTAGGCTTAAAAAAGTGTTTAAAAAAAAAGAGCAGCATATTCACCTAGAGGGAAGTTTCATTTGATTTTATATTGATTTTATTTACCGCTTATTGTTAATGCTTATTATCGTTACCATCCCATTCAAGACCCAGAGGTTCTTGGACTACAACTCCCACCGTTACCATCCCATTCAAGACCCTCTCTTTTGAAAGTCTCTCGTTTTCTGTGGGTGGCTTCCCCCGCAGCATGGCCAAAAACCTTTAGAACCAAAAAACTAAAAAACTTTAGTTAAACGTAGAAACCTTAACTTTTCTAAGCTGTGTTGAACAGAAGCAAGCTTTCTGGCGTGGAAGGCTGAAGCGGAAGGATTCCCCAAACATAGACCAGGCACTAGGACTCTAGTTATAGTAGCTCCATCATGAAAAAGTTCCCCAGTTGGGTTCCAGGTTGCATCACTGCAGCTGATACCAATCGTCCTACGCTACATAAGTTTGTGCGACAGAGTTTGGGCCCTCTTTCTGGCTCATTCTCATGCAGGAGTTACCAAAGTGAGGCTCTCTAAAGCAGCGGCTCACAACCTGGGGTCCCCAGAGGTTCTTGGACTGCAACTCCCAGAAGCCTTCACCACTTGTTGTGCTGGCCAGGATTTCTGGGAGTTGCAGCCCAAGAACATCTGGGGATCTAAGGTTGGGAGCCACTGCAGTAGAGATTGCTGGACTAGAACTCCCATCAGCACTACCCAGCATACCCAACGGTGAGGATAATGGGCACTGTTGTCCACCCATTGTTGACTACCCTGTTCTGTTATCCTCTCCAGAAGGATTTGTGGCTGGAGCAGTATATGCTTTACATACTGCTCCAGCGACAGGCGGCTCAGCAAACCATCCCCGTCTAGCACAACTGATCCAGAGAGGAGGTGAAAAATCCATCCACCCAGTGAGGCTTTCTAAAGAGTTGACCAAGCTTGAAAGCCTTTCGAACATCAACCCTTCATTAATTTAGTCAATAACGACAAACCCATGCTCGACATCCTTCTATAAAATGTGTATTTTGGTTGACTTCACCGCTCTTTTAATCAACGTCATCCTTTTCTTAGAGAAATGGAGCCCATTGTATTTCCAGATCCCTCGTGGTTTTTGCAGATGTTCTTTTCCCTCAAATGTGTGTGCGAACAAATAAAAACACAAAAGTTCTTTTTAAAAGAAAAGGTTAGGCTTGGAAGCACTTCTTGAGCAGCGGCACCCGTTCTTCTCCTGGGGGTCTTGCTTATTGGTATGCTTGCCCAGCGCTCTTAGTAGCTAATTTCGCATCTCACAAACATTTTCTCCTGGCCCGGATAAAGGTGGAGGTTGTCAACATTTTGAGAACAGAATGTCATTCTAGACAGAAGAAAAGGAAAAGGTGAGAAAAATTCTTCCATTGATACTAAATAATGAGCGAAGTGCCGCTTGTTTCTGAAAGGTGACATGCAGTGTTAACGCTGCAATCTAAAATGGGCATTGTTTAAAAAAAAAACACCTAAAAACTGCTCATTAGAATGCTCTCAGCCTTGTGGAAAGCAAATGCCTGCCCAAGCAACCTTTTTTTTTGTTTCATTACATGGACCATGGGCTGAAGAGTAGGAGCCAGGTAGGCAGAGGGGCGTTACCCAATAAACACACCTGTCTCTTCCAGACAAGGCTAAATTTGCTGTAAAGAAACTGGACTCTCTACTGCTGGTTTCAGTGTTTTTTTTCTGCTTTTTCCCAGGTTCTCCTGAAGTGACAAGAGTTTTTGCTTGTTTGTTCCAAGGGCAGAGTGTAGCGCTATGGCACTTTTGGTGGGAAGCCATTTCTGCGACGTAGGCTTCCCGTGCAAAACTTTCAATTCATTCTAACATTTGTTTAAAAAAAAATTAAAGAAAAAAAAACTGGCTCCCAAAGTAAATCTCAAGGGGGGGAAGTGGCTCACTAAAAGAAATTGTAAGGATTTCCAGAGGTTTTCAAAGATGCAGCTTTTTGCAGAGCAGCCTGGGTGCATGTGCCAGGAAGCTCTGCCCCTTTGGGAACTGCTCTGTGAGCAAGGGGGTGACCCAAGTGAAGCAAAACGTCTGCCCCCCTCCTGAGCCTCCTAGGTGCCTAGCAGAGTTCTTGAACTTTTGGGAGAACTTGGGAAAGTTTCAGAACTGCATTTCCCAGGTTTCTTGATCCCACTTACTTCTGTTGGGTTTCCCCAGCCTTGACTCGTATTGTCTTTATAACCAGTCCTGGTCGGCGGTCTCCCTTGGTCCACGGAATGATGGTTTGGACGGTGTTCCAGATGTTTTCCCAAATCGCAATCCCTTCCCATTTCAATTTGATCATCATCAGCTCACCGATGTCAGTATCCAGAGGAACAAGGAAAGTATAGGTTTTATTTCCAGTGATGCCTTCAACTCTAGGGGCGAGAAGGAGGCAGGAAATGGGTCAGAATGGCTGCTGGGACTTCCATGCTTACAAGCACACCACCGTATGCATTCCTTGGGTTTCTCTGTTTCTTTTCCATTTGACTTCTTGCAAAATACCAAATGAACAGCAGTAAATATAACCAATCTGCATGTAACATATATATCTTGTGTATAAAAACAGTGGCAACTCTCTGTAAGCAAGCAATACTCAAAAAGTAACACTGGTAAGTAAACAAACGTCCAGGTTGTTTGTTTGCTAAAATGCCAAGTTAAGGGAAATGGGAAGTGTGCCAGATTTAGAGAAAAGCCCCAAATATCACAGAATTCCAGTTTCTTTCTTTGTTTCATGGGAAGTAAGGGAAAGCTTGAGGAAATGGACCCAGGCAGTCCCAAAGAGAAGTTCATAGGGGCCACCCCACCCACCAAGGGTCTTGTTGCCATCCAGGCAAAGCGAGAGGAAACTGAAACCAGGATGGTCCAGTGTCAAGCAGGGCAAATATTCTTCTGTGCTGTTGTCATAGCACACTTCGTGGGTCATCCGAAGAGCAAGCCGGTGCCCAGCCTAACCGAATCAGTTTCTTGCAAAGCCATTACAGGGCCAACTGTAATGGCTTCGCAAGAAACAGAACCGACAGCCGGCCGGCTGTGCAGAGCAGGAGCTACAGTCCTGGCTGTTTGTACTCCTGACCTCAGTCTGCATTGTCACGCATGGGCAAGTCATGGGTCTGAGCCTTATGTGGAACTCACAAAGTAATGGAGAGGTTCTCAATGTCATCCGTGCTGCCTGTCAGAGAAATGGTGAAGGTTGGGTCAATTCGCTTCAGTTGGAATTCGTTGATGAAATGGATCTTGAACTGGTAGTGATAAACTGTGAAGGAGACAACATGGTAAGAACATGAAATGCACCCTGGCACGCAGGAGCCTCTTCTTGCCTATCCTCAGTTTCCCCGCTCACAGACACTACATTTTTCATGCATGCAAAAGCTTAAGATATTTTGCGAAACTACACATGCATAATAAAGTGATGCAGGTATGTACAGTATTCCCCCCACCCCGCTTTAGTATTTTTCAACTGGTTTGCTTCAACTAGTTAGTAATTCCCAGAATGTCTCAGCCAGCATGTTGTCCATAAAAATAAACTTTTCGAAGCTTTGCATTTTTGGGGTGGGTGAGACAGGCATGTCAAACAAGGAAGGTTCTCCCTAGAGTCACATGCCTTGTACGGATTTTGCCAGCTTTTCAGTGCCAGTTGACGACAAGATTATTCTCCCCAACCTTTCAGGGATGGTTCGTTTTGTTCTTCCTCTTTTTATGCTTTTCTGGTTCATTCCACTGTAATTTCAGTGTTTTGTGATTTTTTATATATATATTTTCCTGTTTTCATATTGAAATTGAGTTTTTTTAAATTCCTGTGCTTTCTGAAAATAGCCAGGCAGATGAATGGATTTGTAAGCGAAAGCTGAGAAATGAATCAAAGATGCATTCTCTTAATGATCATCTGTGGTGTATCTCCCTTCTTCCTTCCTCGGTAACCTTCTTCGATACTGGAACGCGTATGAAACATCAGCCATACAATAAATACTTATCCGACAGTCATGTCGTTAATTAAGTGGTCGACGCTATTCCTGTTTATTATGAAAGAGAACGGTCTAGTGGATTGTGCCCAACACGCTTGGCTTTGCAATCCTTCCCTTGAATGTATGGAAAATTCAAACGCATGTCCATGTTGCGAGCCTTTGTGTGCTCCCTCTGATCCTCCCTTTGCTGTTTTTTGATTCTTGCTCGGGCTTCTCACGCGGCCTTCTGCAACATTTTAAAGGAACGCAACTCCAGATCATTTGATAGGGGCCGAAGAATAGCCACACTGTTCTTTTCCAGCGGCTGTTATGAAAGGCAACTCTTGTTCTTTGCGTTGACCTTTTGAGGACTTTAAAGGTCTTTTCTTTCAATGGTGGCATCGCCAGGCCCAGCTAACGGAGCTGGCAGTGGGTGTCTCGTGAGAGGAGCAAGAGCTGGCACAGTTGGGCACCGGGAGAGTGGGTGAAGGGCACCAGAAACCGACCTGGAAACAAGGACGCGGTTGTGACTCGAATCTCACCTCCGCCGAGCCCGTAGACAAGCTGCTAATGGATTCTTCTTCCGCTTCCCCATCAATAACTTGTGCACAATAATACTCCCCCTTTTTAGACCCGGGAATGACATTTAGGAGACAGTAACGTGTACGTCCAGCGAGAAAAAGAATAATGTTCTGAACCACACGGGGACACGCCTGGTCTTGTTTGATTTTGGAAGCCTTACCAAGGTTAGAGTTTGGTGGGAGACCATCCGGACCTCCAGGTGGGGCAGGAAATGGATTGTGCCTCCATGGTTGCCAGTCCGAGGCAACGACGGTGGTGTTTGTAAAGCCTCAACTAGTCTTCGTTTAGAAAGAGAAAGCAGTTCTGAACCGAGGGTGCAACTCAGTAAAAGACAGCTCCACATGTTCCCATGTTTCCTTCCATAAAAGCAATGAAGCCGAGAATGCCAGAACCAGGATGTCTTTTCCCTAAAAAAAAACTCCTCTCTGGCCTTGAAGATCTATAGATGCCACCTCAAGTGTGCCCTGGGACACCACCCTGGGCCGGTCCATGTGATGATGAAAGTCTGGCTGCCCAGGCAGCTGTACAGAATGCACAGCTGACTTTGCACAATTTTTTTGGGGGGTTGGGGGAGAGAATATTCTTGGCACTCCAGGAAGTACCAGGTGGTCACCTCCCACACCTCCTGGACTGAATCATTGCTGGAGAGGAAGGAACAGGAGTTGATGCTGCTCTGGGTTGTGCGGGACCTTGTTATCCCTCTTAAGGTAGAACACATGCACGCCCTGCCTACCTTGATAAGCACATGGAAGCCATTATGATAATGCACCAAAGTAAGGCCAGATCTGGGTGGGCTGAGCAGCCTTTTAAACAATGGGTTCACCTGCCCCAAGTCCCAAGGCGTGTTTTGGGAAGCCCAGTGGTCACAGCGTTCTCTTGCCCCCCTCCCTCTCCTCCCTCCCTCCCTCCCACCCACCAACCTTTGAACGGTGCCTGGGGCTGGGTCTGCAGGAACAGCCGCCGGCTTTCAGGGACTCTTGCCTTCCGGATGTGGTAGCCCAGGGTGTTGCACCTGTTTGCCCGGCAATTGAGGCAACGGCCCTTGTCGAAGGTCTGCATGTCTTTGCAGAAGTAGCCCATCATCTGCCTGTCCTCGTGTTGCAAGGAGTCGATAAACAGGTGGACGGACCGTTCGTGGGCACATTTCACCATCTGGGCAAGCCCTGCAGAGAGAACAGAGGCACCCCCACAGCTAAGCGGACGGTCAGGGCTTGGTGGAGATGAAGCGGGCAGCAGGCGTCTCCTGAGCTCTTCTCCCTGGCAGTTCCTAGGTGTCTTCCGAGGGGCCCCTCCGGACAGCAGACACCTTGGAAACAGATCTGGCCATCCTTACAGAGCTTGGAAAAGGGTGTGGTTTTTTTTGGGGGGGGGAGGGTTACACTTTCCAGAATTCCCCAGCCAGCACAGCCACTAACCAGTCTGTAGGTGTCTTCCAAGGGGCCCCTCCGGACAGCAGACACCTTGGAAACAGATCTGGCCATCCTTACAGAGCTTGGAAAAGGGTGTGGTTTTTTTTGGGGGGGGGAGGGTTACACTTTCCAGAATTCCCCAGCCAGCACAGCCACTAACCAGTCTGGCTTGGGATTTCTGGCCACTGTAGTTCAAAAAAGTAACTTTCCCCAGCTCCTTGTTGATGTCACGAAGGGCCAGGCATAGACCAAAGGATGTTTCCCGCCACCTCCCACCGTCCGCCCTCCTCACCTGTGATTCCATACTGTACAATGTGATTGTAAACGTGCATGATGTGGCAGCCAGGCTGGAAAGTCCCGCCGTTGGGGTAGAAGTCAAAGTGAGCCACCGGCTGCTTGATCCCCACGCTGAGGCCCATTTGCTGCTGGGTGAAGGTGTGGATCGCGTCTACGAAACTGGCGTCGTCCGGCGATAAACGGTCTGTCGGGGACATGCCTTCAAAGAGAGGGCCGGCAGGATCGAGGCCTGGATGAAATGGAAAACGTGGCTGGTGAACAGACTGTCCACAGACGACTCGGCATTGCTCCAGAAGGGAAGGAAGAACAGAGCAAGGAACGGAGCAGGATCCGTGCTGGCTAAGGTGGCCTGAGCTGAGAATAATCCAGAGCTTGTGGCTTAAATCCAACCTTCCGTCCCACGGAGGATCTAAAGGCCCGGAGCCAAAACCAAGATCTCTACCTACTCCCCAAATGTGGCGCCAGGCCGTCCTTTCTGCAGAGGGCCTTCTAGAGATTGGGGGGGGGTGTCACCCTGGGCGAGCCCTCTCTTGGGTTGCCACCCACACCCCCTCTGAGAAGAGCTTCAGAAGGCCACCTTGCCGCCCTCCGTCCTCTGCATGGCACCCCCTTCTCTGCGTTGGCTCTGGGTGGTCGTAGGATTCTGGGTTTGGACAATCTGATTCTTTCTGAATCCCCGACTTTCAGATTTCCTGCTCACGAATCCATTTTTCTCTTACCTGTGATCCTGCCAATCTTCTTTGTGCCTCCAATCAAGCTGCCCGCAAATCCCGCGACGTGGGCACCTAGGCTGTAGCCAATGAGGTGCGCGTTGTCTCTGGAAAACTGGACCGATTCCTGGAAGACAGCCGTGGCCGTGACGTGAGGGTTGTTTCCAGAAGGGGAAGAGCAGAATTGGGAAAAGAAGGCAAGGAGATGTGGAAGCCGTCTGTAACCGGGCAAGGGTTAGGGTGATGCCTGGGGCCCCCGGCATCCGACGCAGGTCTGGTGTCTAGTCAGGCCGCTGTCCCACCTGTGCTGATGTGGCCAGTTCTGACCGGCAGATGTGGCTCTCCAGGATTCTTTCCTCGCCCTCCCTGGAGATCCTTGACCTTCTACGCCCTGCTGGTGGCCTCCCCTCAAAGCATCATGGCCCAGGTCCTCCGCCTTGCTAGCCTTTTGAGATGGGCATGTTCTGGACGGCCCACGGAACCCAACTTTCCGCTCTGTTCGGATTGTCCTTATTCCCAGGCAGAAACGGGTTCTTGCTCCCATCAGGGTAGAGACGAGGGTCTCGCCTGCCTTCCTGACGGATATGAGGAGCCCAGAGGGAGCTGGGGAGGCCCTTCTCACCCAAGCAGATGGCTGTGGGGACAGCAGTCCCTCCATGGGTGACCAAGGCATTTGTTGGAAAGGAGGGCTAGGCTGATGAATGGGTTGGCCCAGGAATGCATCAGACGAGTGACGGACACTGGACCAGAAACTTGGGGGAATGTCTCTCCCTGGCCTACCTCTCCCCTCGGCAGACCGTCACCGGCCCGGCCCTCCTTCCAGTGTGCTCACCTCCAGCCATTCCAGGAACTGGGCAATCTCCTGGCCGATGCGCCGCGTATTCTGCACGGCGGTGGCATAATGTGCGTGCGCAAGCGTGAGCCAGTCGGTGATAAGGACGTTGCTGTGAGGGAGTCGGGACTTCAGGGCTTCTGCCAACTTCCAGATCCAGCTTTCGAGCCTTCCCTCCACCTGCGGGCAAGGAAGGAAAACCCATTCGGTGAAACGGCCCTGGGGGGACCCTTTGTTACGGAACCCCAGAGAGAGAGAGAGACCAGGCGGCAGCCCAGCAGGAAAGGGGCTGATGACCAGCCAGTCTGTCCAGGTTCTCTTTGTAACCTCCAAACAAAAGCAGAATTATTTTTTTAAAAAGCACTTTTAAGTAATTAATAATAAGACAAAACCAATAATAAGCAAAATAGAGATTCAACCAGTCTGAAGGCAAGGGGGAAATTAAAAGGGAGGGAAAAGGGAAGGAAGCATAGATAAAGAAGTCACTGGAGGGTGATTGATCGATAGGATTGGCAGGTTTTCTGTCCCTGGCATGACCGGCGGTGGGCACCTCTCTTTCCAGTGATGCAAGAAGGTCCGGCGCATTGCACTTGTCTGGCTACACTGGCCTGTGGTGAATCTCCAAGAAGCAGGTGTGCCCATTGGCAGCTGTTGCTTTCCCTTAGTTAGGCAGAATAGCATGATCCATTTCCCTGTTCCATTCATCTCGGAGGCCTTGGGTGTCATAGTTATGAACTGACAGTAAAGAGCTGGAAAGAAATGGTGTAGGTTTCTTTTCTTGGACTGGTGCAAGAAACGTTTCCAATCTGCAGGAGACTCTGAAAAGGGTTGCATGGCAGCCAAGGAACGCTTGCACACGTACGTTGTCTTCGCTGCTATAAAAGACATCACATATCCATCTGTTCTCATAGTGTGAACAGCAGGAACTTTAAATTCCCAAGCTCTTAACATATTTTTGCAAGTGTGACACAATTCTATAGTTCTGATTTGGGATTAGATTTTAGCAAGAATTTTTCCTACATCGGTGGGGAAACGAGTCCATTGAAATCAAGAGGAACCGTGCGCAAGGCTCGGAACGTCCCAAGATTTTCCAAGCATCACCACTGAGCCCACCATGTGGTCAGACTGAGGTTCTCAAGTGTTTCTCCCTGTTCACTTAGGTGTGGTGTGTGGCAGTCCAACAGTACCTGCAGGCTGGCCTGGGTGTAAAAGGAACACCTCACATTTGTGAAGCAGATGCAATGTGTGAATGAGGCAAACAGGGGTGAGTTAGCCTGTGGGGACCCAGAGCCAAGCTCGGCTGTGGGTGGGTGCTGAGCGAGCCGGTGTTCTGGAGCCAGCAGGACATGCCCTGGCTTCCCCATCCTTGTAAAAGCCGAATCTGGAGGGGGCCCTTGTGTGGCCTGCCCACCTTCCTTTCTCCTGGATCGACAGACGCCCTCCCCCAGGAGGCCCGTCTGGCCCTGTCTTTGCTGTCCTTCCGCAAGCAGGCAAAGACCTTTCTTTTCGGGCAAACTTTCCCTGAGCAACTCGTTGCCTGAGTGGGGTTCTTAAATGGGCGGTTGTGAATGTGTATTGTTGTTGCTTATGCTTTCTGTATGGAATTCAATCTTTTTAAAATATTTGTATACTCACTGTGGTTAGTTTTTATACTGTCCTTTAATTGATATAATCCGCCTCAGGTCCTTTTAAGGAGAAAGGTGGAGTGAAAATATTCTAAATAAAATACTCAACCCACAAGGCTGGGTCGATTGTCTCTCCCTCCCGGCTTCCATGAAAGAGGAAAGGAAGAGCATTAAGTCTCTTACCGACCACCCGTGGACGATCATCACCAGAGGAAGAGAGGCGTTGAAGCGACATTTCTCCAGCGTGGCCAGCTGGTAGGATTCGATCAGGCAGCCTTCTTCCACCGTGTTGGAGTACAGCAGGAATTTGGTCTCGGAGTGGGAGCGGCGGTCCGTCTTCCTCTGAACCGGCTGCAGTGGCGGCCCTGAAAAGAGACCCGGGGTCTGAAGCAGCTGCGAAGAGGAGGCAGAGGCTCGAAGCCACCGACTGGCCCACCAACGGCCCGTGGCTCGTTCATGCACTGGTTGCCGACGTGCATTCATCCTTCAGCAACCCAGACAAGCCCATGACGGCCGCACCCGCCCGTCCAGCCTCTGCTCGGTGAGCAGTGCTGCGTTCCTCCAGAAAAGAAGACACCATTTATTTATTTAAAACACAGTCTCTCCCACTTTCCTCCTTAACAAGGAAGAAAGAAAGAGGACTTATTCCCCCACCCTCCCATCTGCATTCTTTCTGCTAAGGATGTTCGGCGTGGTCTGTCCAAAAATCTCTCCGTATCTCAGGGGAAAGTGTTGAAAAGAACACAACGTAAAGGGTGTGCCCAGGGCACGGGCCCTTCCAAAGATCCGGTCACACATTTCAGGGAAAGGCATAACTACCTCCTGTCATTCCCCGTGTTTTCCCTCCAGGCACATAGTCCCTTTAGAGCTCCATGCTGAAGTCATCAGACTCGCAGGTAAGGAGCCCCTGCTGATCCCCTGATGACCAGCCAGCAAACAAAAGCAAGAGAATTTGCAACATGCAGCATATGGTGAGCTTTCTCGCTTCCGGACAACCAATCAGTGGCAGTGGCAGGATGATAGAACTGGTGCCAGAGCACGATTCCTGGATTTGCCTTCCTTCCAGCCCACCATTTACGTATCTAAAGACCTTAGGGTCAGTGAGGACCTGAAGGATGAGATTCTGGAAGGACCCCCCCCCCCAATGCATTGCACAGGGTTGGCCTGGGCTTTCCAGGGCACAATGGCGCCAGTGCTGTATTAGAGGAGGCCAGAGGGACTCCCTGCCTCCTACGTCCCAGCTCCCGTCCGGTTGCATCCGCACAAGTTATTAAATCAGGAAAGCCTCCGCCTGTCTCTCTCCGCCACCTATGTTTTTATTCCCTTGCATCTGTTAGAAACCTTGCTCGGCTGGAATGTTTTCATTGTGGTTTTGTTAGCCTCACATATTACAAAGCCGTGACTTATTGCTGAATTGCTCCCAGCAATGTATATTCAGGGCTGAAAACAGCCACAGGAGATGCCGCTTCTGCAGATTGAGAGCCGGCCCTCTTTCTGCTCGGGGGCCCTTTATTTTTAGCCTCAGATCCTCAACCGCCGTGGTGCGGAATAAAACAAACAGGTGCACAATCATTGTTATGTACTCTCTTCCAGTGCTTTGTTTTTTTTACATGTCCCACTTCCTTTCTTGTTCATTTTGCCGCAGCGTTGTGATTTAGTCCGACAGCCTGCCTTCTAATATAATAAAGCAGACACGTTTTTATTAGGTCTTCGGAAGGAGCACGTGGCCTGCATGTTTCATTCAGCCACGCTTTCCTCTCTCTCCAGCCGGGAGGGTGCTCGGACAATGGCAGGACCCCCTTCCTTAGAGCAGAGGTGGGAGGTTTTGAGAGAAGGGAAAAGCGAGGTCGAGGGCTCCCTCCGTCCGATGGACACCATGCTATGGTCCACTGGCAGATCTAGAGGTGCGCCAGTGTATAAAGGAAATTAAAAAGGTGAGGCAGGGAGGTCAGAAGGCCATGCAACGATCTTGTCATAGATTATGTTTCTTGCTTTTTGTCTTTAACAGGTTTCACTATTTACATATTTTTTTTTCTCCGAAAGAGAGAGAGAGAGAGAGGCGCGTAAAACCTCCCACTCCAAACCCAGGTTCAGCTCTTCAGCCTTAATGGATTCCTTAGCTGCTTGATCTGCAAGGGATCTGGTCTTCTGGGACCGGTGGCTCTCCCAGATCAAAGGTAGAGGCACCTGGTGGGTTCTGCGGCTCCTTGGCAAGCTTTGATTCAAGTGACAAGAAAAGAGGCCACGAACAAGGGAGGACCTCCTCGGGGCAAGAGCTGCTCGGCCGCACAAGGACCTCCCTCCCTTGGACACAGTTGGCCGGCTGGCAGGGCTCCTCTAAGGGAGACCCGGAGCTGTTCCCCTCACCTCGGCCACTTTGCCAGGGGCCAGGGACTCCACATGGCGCAGCCTTCTGTTCTCGCCCGCCCTGGGAGCCGGGAAAGCGGCGCCTTTTCACATCCGGCTGGCTGGCGAGGCTCCTTCCAGGAAACCTGCTCTTGGAAAGGCTGCCAAGAGCTGGAAAGAGGAGGAGGGAAGAGGGCTCTACATCGCCGGCGCCTGAGATTCCTTTGCCGCTTTGTCGATTCAATGCACCCCTTGGCATCTTGGTCAGCCCGCTGTGTGTGGAAGGGGCTCCAGCCCGCTACCGCCAGCCCCCCAAAAGCCGCACCTCTCCGAGGCCTTGCGTGCCTTGGGGTCCTGCCGCCAGCACACCTCCTCCCGAAAAGCCACCCCTTTGCCGCAAGCGGGGGAGGACGGAGTGGCCGAGTCGAGCTCGCCCCCTGCCTTGGCGCTGGGCACATGGGAGAAATGGCCCGCTTTTCCCAGCCTCAAAGGGCTGAAGGGCTGAAGCACCTCACGCGGTGCCCAAGGGCTGTCCAGGTGAATCGTTTTGGAAACGTGGCAGGTCTGTGGAGCAGAAGAAGTCAGGGCCCAGAACGGGCCTGTCAAACCCCTCTTTAATGCCATTGTGCCAAAGAAGACAGCCCCTTCTTTCTGGGCCTCGGCCGGAGGAATTGGAAGGCCGGTCTGTTCACATGAAAGAACTTCCGGAGTGGTGCCTCTCTCTCTGTCTCTGTCCACGAACAAGGGAGGACCTCCTCGGGGCAAGAGCTGCTCGGCCGCACAAGGACCTCCCTCCCTTGGACACAGTTGGCCGGCTGGCAGGGCTCCTCTAAGGGAGACCCGGAGCTGTTCCCCTCACCTCGGCCACTTCGCCAGGGGCCAGGGACTCAACATGGCGCAGCCTTCTGTTCTCACCCGCCCTGGGAGCCAGGAAAGCAGCGCCTTTTCACACCCGGCTGGCTGCCGAGGCTCCTTCCAGGAAACCTGCTCTTGGTGGAATACCCCCCCTGACTGAATGGTCACTGGCCCTTTGAACTAGGCAGTCCAGAGACTGAATGGTTCAAACTGGTAACATCTCCAAAGCTCTGCTGGGCACCGAATGAGCCAGGAGATTAATCTCAGCCACTGGCTCCAAGAACCTGGGCCGAATGCAATGACTACACAACTGAGCACAAAGAATACCATCCTTCAAAGATGGTGTCTCCTCAAAGGAATGCGGGAATAGGTCCCCTGCAGCGTCCTAGGCTCCAGATGTTTAGTCTCCAATGGACAGAACAAAAAACGGACATCAAACACAGAGGCCTCCCATGCGGGCGCAGCCAGTGCTATGGCTAAGCAAGCATTTGCTGTTGTTGCCTGCAATAAGTGATGCTCTTGCGAACAAAGGGAGATTTTTTTCCCCCTGGGATCCGTTTCTTGTATCAAGGGTAGCGAGAGGGGCCATTTCCCCACATGGCCTTGTGGGAGGAGTCTTTGCGGCTGATGGACCGAGACCTTAGCCGAGGGGGGAGCTCTCCGAAGCAACCCCATCCTTTGCCCAGGGAGAGCTGGGGGCCCAATCCTGCCCCGGCTTCATTCCTACCCTGGTCAGGCGTCAGGGGGACCTGAGTGAACGCAGGCTCTCCGCACGCCGTTCACTGTTTCACTGGGCAAACCTTTCAGCAGTGAAACATAAGGTGCAGAACATTCACTCCACTGAAGCGACGCCAAAGACGGCCTCCACATTTGCTTCTGTCCTTGCAGGGGAGCTTCCGCGCAGCTGATGCCGCGGAGGTAAGATTCCTCCAGTGAATCCAAGAGGCCTCTCGTCTTCTTGCGTCCCTTTATCTTAACATCACAGCAGCCCTATGAGGAAAGTGACCAGCCCAAGGTCACCCTGGGAGTTGCACGGCTCAGTTGGGGGCCACTTCGACCAAGACGCCGTTCAGCGCTTTGACCACTATGCGACACTGCTGTCGCACCTCTGGTCACATAATCTGTTGGCCCATTTTCTCCATCCCTGGGGCTGCTTCTGACTCTTAACTGTAAAGCGAAATGGATGGAGGCAGGAAGAAAAAGGCTACTCCAAGTCTTCGCTAACGGTACCGTTTGTATTAATTCAGGAAGTGCCTACTGCTTATTTACTGCTGGGTTGTCGTTAAATCCCTTTATTCATAATTAATCAGGGTGACTACTTCACACATATTTCTAGCTAGCATTTCTTATTTGGAAGTTCTGAAATAATTGAATTTAGAGCCCGAAGACCAGGGGAGAAATTAAATCCCTCCATCCATAATTAACCAAGGTGAATATTTCATGCACTCTGTCTAGCTAGTATTTCTTATTTGCAGAGTTCGGAATAATTGAGTGGAAAGACCCAAAAGACCTAGAGGATGAGGAGGTAGACGGCGAATCCAGCCGGAGGGGAAACAATTCTGTACGTCTGCCTGGCTTGTACAAGTGAGACGGGGCCCAGTATCACCAGGGTTGGGTTCTTAGGACCCTCACCGTTCAAAGCTCAGCACAATCACAGGCGAGGGGGATCCGATGAGGGTAGGTGGCTGTGCTATTTGCCCATCACTGGAGCTCCCGAGGCTGTGACCGGAAGGCATTCCTGTTGAAAGTCCTTTGATTTTAGCCACAGGGGCTGAGGACATGTTCAAAGCAGTGAAAGGATCAGAAAAGCAGGCTTTGGCTACTGCTGGGGGTGGGGGTGGGGATTCCTTCTGTCTGTTATCCGGTACTCCAGTCAAGTTTCTTTTCATCTACTGCTCTTTTAATCAGGATTCTTCCCCCCCCCCAAGGGATTTAAGCAAAGAAATGCAAAAATTAATAATAAATAAAATAAAATCTTAAAAAAGAAAAACAGGTGTGCCATGAACTTCAATACACTTCAGTGCTGCTCAGTTACCTATAACAGGGCCGTGGCTGTTCAGGAGGCGTTCAGTGTTGGCCATGTGCTCAGAAAGGGTCACAGAATGGGGAAGAAACCTACCACCCCATTGCTCTTGCGGCCTGCGACCCACATGTAGCTCAGGAGAAATCATCCCTTTGGGTGTTTACTTTGTCAAAAGTTAGGATTAACTCTTCCTCTCTCTTTGTCTGCATTTCTGTATTTAACTGGGAACAGGAAGAGTTCGTTGGAGGAAGCTGGGCAGAGAAACGTCGGGAATAAGTATAAGGCATAATGGAAAGGCGAAATCACGGCAGAAAAATTGACAGTTTCTTTAGAGGTATGAATGGCCATCTTGGTAGGAACATCTCAAAAATAAACGTCAAGGGGAATCTCCTAATCGTTCCCTACGAGCTTTTTGGCAAAGTTTCTGCCAGTAAACCTGGAGCCGATTCCTCAGATGTTTTGTCATAGAGCAAAACCAGCACCACAAAACCAAAGCAACAACAAAACCAAGGCTCTCTCCCCCCTTGCTTGTATTTATTTATTTATTTATTTATGTAGAGCAAAACCGGCACCACAAAACCAAAGCAACGACAAAACCAAGGCTCTCTTCCCCCCCCCTTGTTTGTATTTATTTATTTATTTATTTTATTACATTTATACCCCGCCTATCTAGTCGAACGACCGCTCTAGGCAGCTTCCAACATATAGAACAACTTTTCTTCCGCGATCTTGCCCCCCCACCCCTACCCCAGTCTCAGAAAATTGGGCAGTGGGTGGACGGAAGGCCGACGTCGCCTCGGCCAGAAGCATCCAATTAACCCTCCTGGACGCCAGGGCAGCCAAACTGGACATCAGGACCTCTGTTGCTAAGCAAACACCGCTCTCTCTGCGGTGCCCGCCTGAGATCAAGGCACAGCCGGCTGGTAGGTTTGTGTCCAAAGTCCTCATTAAAACAGCCCTCGGGGAACATGGTGGAAAGAGCCCCCCCCCCCCGGCTCGGCTTTGGTCAACCCGGGGGGCCTGCTTTGTTCAAGGCTGTCTGTGGGGGGGGGGCGAAAAGCTTACGCTGAGGCCCAAGAGAGACAACGGGGGGTCATCAAACTGCCCACCAAAAAGCCCCCCCTGAGGTCAACCTCAGCAAGGGATCTGCTGCAAAAAAATGTGACTTTGGGAAATCAGAGCCAGCACATCATTAGAAGCTCATCTCCCCAGAGTAATTAAAAAAAATCTGATTGTCCCGAAGATGATTTTGCTTTTTTTTTTTTTAATCTGGAGATAAGCACAGCTCCGTTTGCAAGTCTGCTTATGCTTTGAAGGAAGGGAGGGCCAAGGAGGAACCTTGTAAAAGCAGAGGAAAGACCTGTTTCGTGTTATGTGTCATTTGACGCCCGAGATGGAGGGAAAGAGGCTGTTGGTACAGACAGAGGCCACCCACCCAGGGTTGCAAGGATTGAATTGGGAGCCTCCCCACACCCCTAACCAATGGGGACGGGGGGGGGGGTTTCCTCTATATTGACAGCCTAAACCTATTTCTGAGAAGGGTTTTTTAGGGGGTGCCTTCAAAGGTGGGTGGAGCCAAAGGCAAAAGAGGTGGGGCCAAAGACAGCATCTTCTCCTTCCAGTTACTGAGCCTTGGAAGAGGCATTTCATTTTTTTAAGTGGGAGAAGGAGAGGGAAGGTTGCGGCCATCAGTGGGGGGGGGGACTCCACAGCCCAGATGTTCCCAACTCTTGCTCCGTCTTCTGCACAGACCTTAAACTGGACGTTTGCCTGAACCCTCAGCAAGGCTTCTGTCCCGGGATCTGCTGCTGGCCTCCCATTTCAGCCTTCTGTGGAAGGAGGGAAGGTGGCTTTTCTGCTCTTTTATGAGTGCAATTTTCCTTTTCCTGCTGACATTGTCTGCCAAGAAAATGCCTTTCGTGGAGAAAAACACTCGGCGGATCGTTAAGCACAAAGGCTGTGGAGCACTACGAGAGCGAGGTGGCTTGTTTGCGGACCAGCGGAAAGCAGAGAAAATATCGTTTGAATGGAAAGAGCAGGCCATTGGCGCTGGCAGAGTACCAGGCTTTTCAGAGGAAGGAATTTTCTTCCCGAGGATTTTTTTTTTCTGCCGAGATGATTGCCCTGGAAATTATTCTCCAACCACTGGCATATTTGAACAGGTGGTAGTTTGCATTTTGTATAGGAACTGACATTATTATTCTACAAAGAGGAAGGAAAAGGCCTGCCGCTGTTTTGAAAGAAGACTCCTATCCTCTGGAAAACGTGGGCCTTGGGCAGATGAAAACACCAGGACCAAAAGGCACACCCAGAGAAATGTATTTCAACTGTTCTTACAACCTTCCCCCCCCCCCCCCCCCACATATCTGCTATGCTATCTGGACTTAGAACATTGAAAAGAAGTCTTTGTTCACCTGCTGGGTATAATTCAGATGACACACATGCGTGTTCTCCTTTTAGCTTGTTTTCACGATTATACCTTTTTTGTCCCACGAAGGAGCACTCTTTTACAAACAGATTTCTCTGAGCACATGCTTTGGCCATCACCGGTCTCCGGCAGATAAGCACCTATGGCCAGCCGAAGGTTCGCACAACCGCTTAAGAACAAAAGAACAGCATTGCTGGTGAAGCAACTTGAAATGCTGAAGTCTTCCTTCTAGCCCTTCACCTTTTGACCAAGAACTTGGAAGTGGTGTGGTTTGAGGTTACAACTTCCAGAATTTCCCACAAAATGCTTTTCCAAGTTTGGGATGTGACATTTAAAAAATAAATAAATAGACATGGAAGACAGCACAGCTGTAGGATGGGACAGTCTGAAAGGGAGAAATTTTCCACTATACATTGCCCTTAGCACCACCATCCCCAACCCTCATTCCAAGCTTATTCTCAATTTTCAGGCCTGAAATAGATAGCCCTTAATTACTGCTGGTGAGCAAGGCGGTCTTTCCAGTCTAGCTGTGGAGGAATTAAATCCTAAGGCCAATCGCCAAACAAAACAGGCTAATTTTCAAATTGCAACATGTGAGAGAAGAGGATTCAAATGCTTTTGTCGCTTAAGGATTTTCCTCTTCTAATCACAGGCTGTCTTTAACATCCTGTTTTTGGATTCTGCCTTCATCTCTGTTAGGTTTCCTGCAATTAATCCCATCTTGCATTAGCAAAGGAACAAGTGAGTTAAATTATAGCTGTCAAAAGGCTAAGGAATAATTTCACATCTTTTATGGTGTTACTGTTAAAAGGTTTGGTTAGTTTTACAGTTTCCACCAAGGATTTTCTGGCCTCATTAATTATTATGTATGTTTTGAACCTGAGACCAGTGGTTTGTTGCATTTTGCGGTGTGTGTGTTTAAGTAATGGGGGGGGAATCATATATTTCTTACATTTGGAATATAAAATATTGATTTTAAAATAGTAGCTATAATTATAACTAATTTGGGGAAAGGTCTTAGGATTTTTAAACAGTAACTGAATGCTATTAAAAAGTAACTTCCTAAGCTCTGGTCATTGATTCAAAGCATGCTTCAGGCAGCATGAAAGAATTTTAAAAAGGGGCTGAACCGGAAACCAACATTAAATGCAATTTACCTACATACCAAAGAGGCCGATATTTGCAGAAAACTGCATCTCATTTCTCAGAAATAGCACACATTACTCCACAGCCTCGACTTCTATATATTTTAGAAGGCAAATATCTGTTGCTACTCTGGCTGCTGGCAATCCCAGGGGTCAAGCCAGATAGAATCCCAGCAGTATTTTTTTAATAGAAAGCTCCAGGTCTCCCAGTGACAGGGGGTGGTTGGTTGTGGGTGTCTCTCTTGGGGGGTTAGGCCCCTAATGAGGTCAGGCGCAAGGGTGTCCCACAAACCACTGCACCATACAAACCCCAAAAAGTTGGTGTGCTCACCTTTCTTCTTCCTGCTGTTTGGGTCCCCCAGAGTCGGGAAGCTGAAAAGGAGCAGCAGAAATGAAATAATCAGGAGGCTTCTCATGGCTTCCCTCTTTTCACAGAAAGGAGAGAAGCAGGTGGCAAGTGGTGGAGGCAAAGGGAGAGAAGAAGTGGCCCTTGTTGATCATGGTGAGGACTAGCGGCTTGTTAACGATTAACTTTCAAAACGGAATCTGATCTTCTTCCTCTGTATCCCCAAAGGAAGATCGATGTGATCTGACTGCTCCAGATGTTTCATGGGGCATTTCCAGCCCCTCAAAAATCCAGTTTTGTACACACGACTGTTAGGGTTTCTTGCAACAAATTTCTTTAATTCACTTCAATTTTTTTTTCATTCTGTGTAGATAAAAACAAGCTTGTTTGTGTTTTTGTTTTTAATGAAATCCTGCTGAAGGTCACGGGTGGATCGCTCTGTTTTCGTTGACCTTTGTCTGAAATATTGCAAAATTGGGTACATGAAATGAAAGCTAATTTGTTTAACACATGGGGGGAGTGAAGCTTACAGGAGAATACTGGTTTGGAAAGAACTGGGACTGCAGTTATAGAGTTGTGAAATTTGAATTCAGTGCCTGAAAACCACAGTAGAGGGTCAGAACCGTCTGGCGATTCTTCTTTTGAATTTCACACCGTTGAGTGGTTAATGCTTCCTCTCATCGCCCCCAGATAAGATGGCAGAGACGTATGTTGGGTTGTGCAAATTATAGAATGACAGCATTGTAGAGTTGGGAGGGACACCCAGAGTCATCTAGTCCAGCCCACTGCCAAAGCAGGAACTCCATAGCTAAATAATTTCTGAGCGATGGGCGTCCGGCTTCTGTTGAACAGCCTCCGAGGAAGGCCTCCCCACCACCTTCCAGGGCGCTTTGTTCCACTACTGAACGGCTCTCGTCATCAGAAAGTCCTCCCTGATTTCCAAGTTGAAGTCTCCCTTCTTATAAATCGAACCCACTGCTTCCAGTCACTACTGGAACGCCAGCCGGCTCCATCTTCCTGCCATTTAAAAGATTACTCCTACCTGTTCTTCTGGCGAATAAGTTCATCCTTGTGCTTTGTTCTGTTGCACAAATTTCTTTCAGCCGATGGAGTTGTTTGTTTTGTTTTGTTTTTCATGGGATGGAATTTCAAAACTTCCTGTACCCACTTTGGGTCTAAGAAAAGTGAAGTCTGGATTTGGCCTGCTAAATGTTAAAACATGAAATCAAGTTTTCAATGAGACAGAGGGAGAATTTCAGGGAAGGGTGGGGACCCGCGTCTGGAAAGGCTACCTTTGACCAGAGTGGGGTGGGTGGGAAATGGCACCCTTTCCCCCCCCCCACCTCCCAGTTAGAATTCTCCTCTGGGGGCATGTTCTGATGTGGTCAAAACAGAGACCAGGGAAGAAAAAGCGATGTTGGAAGCATCAGGAATCGAAATGGAGCCGGGGAAACAGAAGGGTGATTCTAGATAAGATGTTTGCCTACCTTAACCAGGGGAAAATATGTAGCCAGGTCACGAGGGCATGGTCAGGAGGGGGAAACGCCGCCTGCACAGCACTCAGACAGAGCCCTGCTGGCGCAGAGCAAAAATCCATCATCCCCAGCAACCCTCCAGCTCCTGGGTTGTGCGTTCCACTCTAGGGCAATGTTTCGGATCATTTTCGGCCTTTGCGATGCTGCTGCTGCTGCTGAGCGGCAAAGCCTTGAATTTGTGCCATTTCAAGCACCTGGCTGCTTCGTGTTCCGCCCAGACCCCTGCGTGTGGCAGAGATGGTGTGGGTCTGGAAAGATACGGCCCGGTTTCTTTCCTTAATTCCTGCATTTTCTTATTGCCTTGGTCTCCTACCTTTCTGCCAATGATGATATACTGTACTCAGCTCAGCTCTCCACGTTGGCCTTGCTGCCACAACCTCGTGAGGTGGGTCAGGGCCGCCCAACAGGATTTCACGTCCACGAAAGGGAGGATTGGGACCCATCTCTCCAGAATCCTAGCGCAAGATGATCAACCCTGCACGAATCCACTTGCCCTTTAAAAGTGGGGGTGGGGGGGAAGCGAGTCAAGAGCAGGCAGGCAAGGGAGAGAGACAGAGGGTTGCCTGCATTTGTGCACTGTCTGCAAAGGATGATGATGATGATGATGATGATGATGATGATGATGATGATGATGATGATGATGATGATGATGATATAACTACTATCACTCTGTAGTGTGTGCTGGGGCTTAGGGGTGCAGAGTCAGGCTGGATAGCTCCTGCCAAGTTCATTTATGGCAAGCTCTGAACAGCCCCGTCTCGCCCTTTCTCTCTTTTCCTTTTGAAAAATCTCTCTTTCTTTCGAAAGCACCATTTTCTGCCTCTCCGTCCTCGGCGTCCGGCTCGTCCTCACTGCCTGTGTGTTGCCGGTGAGTTTCTGCCATTGCTTCAGCTTCTGGAAAGAATGGATCCTCTTCTCCCTTTGATGTACATGAGCAATTCCAATTAATTTTAATGTGTAGTCATCAAGTGAGGGATGGCCAGCTTACGCAACGTATGCACCCTCCACAAAGGCTCCTTTGTAGCTATAAACCCCCCCCAAAAAAGAGGGCTTATTGAGGGGGGGGGAGGCAATGTCTTGTTAAGAGCAATTGTGTATGTGTGTGTGTGTTTTATTTCTGATAGGAACCCAAACATTTCATGATTCCTTCTAGACAGAAACCGAGGAGGCAGCTTGGCAATTAGAAGCGGAGCTGACTTGAGACACAGATCTCTAATTGTCCCCCAGCGCTGTAATTGTGCATTAGCTTGCTTCTGCTTGCTGTTTGGACCCTGGGAGGGAAGCACCGGGATTTGCTCAAATGTGGCCTGGGCAAGAACAGCTGCTTGAAGAATGAGTCTCTGGAGGGCCGGGACTTTATCACCTTCTCCCCCCACCCCACCCTGAATCTGCAGCCTCGTCATTTCTCCACCTTCAGCCAAGCTGAAGCGCGACCCTCCTTCCCACCTTCTCCTCTCCTTTTGCTGTAGACAGGATTTCTTGGCTGGTGGGGGGAAGGCAAGCCCCGGTGGAGGGGAAAGGCCTCTCCGCATTGCTGCGAGTGGGGTCCTCTTTGCTCCTCCGGCCCGGCTGCGCCTCAGTCGGGCGGAGGAAGAGTCGGACATCACGTGTGAGCCCTGAGCCAGAGGCAGGGCAGCGGACATCAAAGAGCGCAACTTGGCAGCTGGGAGGCCCCCTGCCAGCCAGCTCAGAATCCAGACCCCTGGAACCACATCTGGCCTCCGTCCAGCCAGCAAGGTGGGTTCCTCTCTTCCCACGCAAGAGTTGGCAGAAGGTGAGCGAAGATGCCTTTGATTCTTAGTCAGGCTTCAGAAGAGCCTTTGAAACCCTGCGGAACCAACCGGTCACTTTCCTCCGATGTCAGTGGGTCTGCCCTATAGGAGAGGATGCTGGATTCCGTGCATGAGCTATCCAGAGCTCAGAAATAGAGATGGGCACGAACCGCCGGTTCTGTGGGTCACCCTGGTTCGTTTAGTGGCCGGCCAGGGGCTTGGCACTTCCCAGCCTCACCCCCCTCCACCGGGCGTCCACTCGGAGGCCGAGGCCCAGCAGGCACTGCCTCTGAGCGGGCGCTCACCAGGGGAGGCAAGGCCGGGAAGCACCAAACATCCGGTCGACCACTAAACGAACCAGCACGAAGCGCGGAACCGGCGATCCGTGCCCATCTCGAGCCAGAAAGGACCTTCCAGGCATCGGTGCCATTTTTGAAGAAAAGCATTTCCCAAGAGTCTGAAGGTGTGAATCTCGGCACCACAAAAAGAGCATTTGTGGGAAACCGATTCCAAATCCAGGGCTGCTGCTGTAACACTTGACATTTTGCCGATTTCCCAACTGTCAAGAGCAAGGGCTTTAAAAAGGAATAAATAAATCATTTCTTAGATTTAACCTCAGGTGGGAAGCAATTAGTCGCATTCTTTGTAACACAAAGCCAAACCAAGTGTTAAAGGCATCAATATTTGGTTTCGTCTTTTAAAGCATGGCTTGCAATGCTGAGTCCTCACATCACCTTTCCCCGGAGAGGGAGAGCGCATACATTACAAGCCCTCCTTCCCTTGCGCTGTTCCACCCAAACACACAAACACACACACACACACACACACACTCCTGCTGGATGGCCAGAAGGGCTGTGCTTAATCAGGGCCCTCCATCTGCTTCCTGGAAAACATGCCAATTACAGGCCGACCTGGGCGTCCCAAATGCACGGCCAGCCTTCCTGATGAGTTCTGAGGAGGCGGCCGCAAGGCAGAGCAGACTCTGTTCCCCTTCAAACATTGATTTGAAAAGGTTTCCTTTGTCCGGACTACAACTCCCAGAATCCATGCTGGTGGGGAAATCTTGGCAGTCCGAGTCCATAAAGTGGCCCGTCTGTGCTCTGCTGAAAAAAAAAAATGGCCTCATCATTTTAGCATTTTAAATTTGTTTCAACATTGTCTGCATTCCAAATGCAGTCTACCCACCGTTTTAAATGGTGCAACGCTCTGATGCGAATACAGAAAAGATTGGATTTCAGCCAAAGTTTAAGACCGGGCACCAGGATCAGGGCTAGGAGGGCCTGGCAGGCTTTTTTCACCAGTGGGTCAGACTCCATGGCCTCTGAGTGACCCTCTGGGTTTTTTCTTTTGAGGTTCCCCTCTCTCTTATCCCTGCTCGCCTCCCCTTTTGGGGTGCCAGTTTCTGTGTGAGCAGAGCCTCCCCCCATCTGTGCTTTCTCCTGACACCTCCCACCCCCGCCTCCTCCCTCCTTTCTTTTATTGGACACAATCCTGAAATAACTTCATTTTATATTTTAATGAGCCACACAGTCTGGGCAAGCAGCAGACGTCATGAATAACAGCCACACTTAAAAAAAAAAAACTACAGGGAAAAAAGGGAGAGAGGAATTAAAACACACGCGCGCACACACACACCTTGAGGTGAAAGAGAGAACAAGAATGGAAATCGAATTACTTGTAAAAAACTTCAAAGCCAGTCTGAGGTGTTGATGAGGACAAACGGAACATCTGTTTTGCTGCTGGAAATCGTTGGGTGAAGGGGAAACGAGCCCTTAATTTGTAATCTAGCTTTGGGCTACTAATATAGGTTGGCTACGGCCTGCCTTTTTGGTTCCTCTGCTAAACAGAGCCCAGTAAGAGAGGAACTGGGGAAAGTGGGGCGTGTAGTTCCACAGGCTCCCCACACACACACACACAGACAGAGGTGCTTTCCAGGTGAGCCCTTGAGATCCACAGCCAGGTAGTCTGGTGGGGGCAGCCGTAGTGGAGATGCTGGGAAGGAAGACGTGGAAGGCTGTCATCCAGAGGAGGGGCAGGATCCGTCCTTGATCCTCCCAGAGGGGACCGGAAGGAACCTCTCCCGTTGGCCCTCATTGGATGTGCTTTTCCTCCAGGTGGATTTTGGCCAGAGTGAGACCATTATATCTCTCCTGCAGCCGTTCCATGGCTCGCTCTCTCTCCCACTGCAAAGTTCAATGGAGTTATGTTTGAGACAGACGGCGCCTCCTTGATTCGGGCAGCACTGCCAGCACCCAAGAGCAGGAGGAGGCTCTTGGTGGCTCCAGTCCAGTCCGGTCTGCCCCCCCCCAGTGGGATTTGCAGGCTTCCCACGGGCACCAACACGGCCCAAGTGCCGATGGGGAGAGGCTGCAAGTCTACTCCACATAGGTCCCTGTTACATTTGCAGGCATCCCACGTTGGAATTCTGCTCAGAAGGCGCTTCCAACTGTAGCCATGGTCAGGATGTGGCCCTGGAGATGGGGAGCCGCTGAGTGGTGTGTGCAAGTTCCTCCCTGGTTTTCTGACCTAGAAGCTGGACCTGCTGGCCCCGCATCTCTCTCTCTCTCTCTCTCTCTCTCTCTCTCTCTCTCCAGCGCCTCTCTGCTCTGCTCAGCATCTGTCCTCTGGTTGTTGCTGATGCTGCTGGACAGCTCCTGTGTCGACCTCCAAAGTCCCCAAGACATATTTCTCTTTTGGGGAGGGGGGGTAGGTGAGACTCCAGCTGCTTTTCAGGGTGCCTCGAATCCTCTCTGCTGTCCCCCCCCCCAAGTCCTGCAGCTGGCGTAGGCAACGGATCTCCCTCCAAGGTGAGGCACTGTCCTGGTCTTGCTCAGGAGGTGGCGGCAAGCCAGCCCTGTAAGCAGATAACGGCTCTTGTTTGGACTTATGTGCCCCCCCGGGACTGGAAGGAATTGCAAGTGGTTTGGGTACCATTTCACTGGGTGGCAAGATGCTCTAAGTGCGAAGCGCTGGTGCATTTTTTTCCCTGCAACCCCTCTTCCCTTTTTTTTAATGCACTCCATACACCCAAAATCTCACATCTTGACCCAGCGAACGGGTGCAGGCAGCCTGAGACCGGCGGTGCCAGCCTTCCGAAAGGCCCCAATCCCTTATGGTCTGCTGGGAGTGAATGGCCGGAAAGCGTCAAAGCAGTGCCATGTCACATGGTTAGTCGAGGGTGTGGGAAACCGCCGACCCCTTTCCAGTCTGTTTCTTGGTGGGGAGGTGGAGTTGCAAGGCTCTGTTGCCCAGAGAAGGGGGGGGGAATGTGCCGCTTAAGAGCGGAGGATGCGGTCGTGGCAGGTGGAAAAACAAAGTTACAAATCTTTGTCTCAGGAATGGCGATAAGGATGGCTCTGTGGGAAGATGACGGAATCTGTTTTCCTTTTCCTAAGGCAGGAGGAAAGGCCGGTGACATTTTCCTGGCAGGCCGTATCAATGCGCAAGCCAAGAAAAAGGTTAAAAAGCTGTGTGTAAGCCCAGTCCCACAAAGCTCATGAGAATTTAAGGAGGGCCGACTTTTCGGCCTCCCGTGAATAACGCTGGGCTGCCCAACTCTTGACATTTCCGGCAGAAGTTGCCCTGTTGGACTACAACTCCCAACAGGCAGGGAGAGTCCAGAAAGAGGCGCTTGCTCAAAGCCAGCCTGTGTTCCTTCCTGAGCAGGTCAGCGGAAGGACTCAGCAACATGACTTGATCCAGGACACTCAAGGAAAATACTACAAATAGGTGTGTTTTTGTAAATGTCGTGTTTTGCCTGCATGTTCCCGTGTAAGGAGGAAGAAGAATGACACGGAGAAGGCAATCTTATATTCATTTACTTAGTGATTAAAGCAGGACTTTTGGTGACTAAACATGTCCAGGTTTGTATGTCCAGGGTTAAGCCTGGAAATAGTTCAGTAGCTGCTGCAGTGATGCTAAGGTGAGAATGCTTTGCTTACTGTGCCTGTCTTTTCAGGGCTAAACTCTACATTATAGATGGTGTGTTACTAAAGGAAGGAACTCCTTAATTGCTGGAAGCATCTGATTGCCATAGCACCAACGTTTCCTGTCTCCTGTGGTTGCAGATCAGCGTTCTCCCTCTTCTCACCAGATTGACTGGGGGAGGGGTGTTCTCCCTAGCCCAGACTATTTAGAGCCTCACTCTGCCCTTAAAACCGGAGTCTATCCTGTCTAACTCTCCACACACACAAACCTGGCAGGTCTCTGTGACAAAGCGAAATGTTGATGGGAAATGGTGTATGGCTTTGGAGGAAAAAGGCATTTGAATCACCAGGAGACAGTGGAAGAGGGGAAGATATTTGCATTTTAATCTGAGGATTTCTACAGGCCTCCAATTAGAGGCACAAAATCTCCATAATTCTGATGAACGACGATCCCCTTCTCATTACGCCAACACCTGAAGTGAAACCACTGCCATTTATTAATAATTTAATGAAGATGACAACATATTATTCCCCCCCCCCATGTACCCGACAGACCTGTAAACCTTAATCGCAGAAAGCCAAGCATCATCTGAAAGGCAGTCGTAATGACTTCGGAACCGGGATAGGCAGGCAGAGCGAATAAGGCAGGCAATTAACTCTTCCTCTCATCTGAAATCAGCCTTCAACTTCGAGAGGGGAAGCAAATAACAGACTGACAGGGTTGGGGGGGAGGGAGGAAAGGAAGCGGGGCCGCCTTTCACTGCCGCCTTGTGCCCCCTGCTTCCTGGCAGCGCGCTCTTCGGCTGCTCCCGTCCAGGCACTTGGGGGAGAAGCCGCATGTTTGGGGGGAACCGCCATAGGGGTGGGGAGGTGCTGAGAAATGGCCCCTGTCTCCTCTCTCCCTCCTCCTGAGTAGAGAAGACAGTGCACAGATTTCCATCACCTTTCATAGGAACAGGATAAGAAGAACGTGCAAAACGAGATGAACTCCAATGGCCCTGTTTCTTGAGGAGCTCCTTTCAATCAGGAAGGGCTGCGCTCAGCGAGCGAGCTTTGCGGGCCACGAGCATGGCAGACACACAAAACTGAGCCTTTCTGAGAGCCGGAGAAGGTGCAGTGCCAGCGGTGGATCCGGAAGGAGGCCCCAATTCTCTGAGAAACACGAGGAGACCACCTGGGGGGGCAGGAGTCCAGTCGGTGGCCAGGCTGACTCCTCGTGGGCTTCCTGGCCTAACAGGGTTGGTGGGCAGCCCTGGTCTCCATCGCCACTGGTGGGGAAGAGAAGCCGAGACCCGTTCGCCCTCCTGGAGTTGTCTTGGTCCTTCTCCCATCTTCCTGCCGACAGAGCAAGGGATCCGGCTCTGCAGTTTGGCTGCAGAAGGAGCCCCGTTTCTATGCTTTCTTTTTCACTGCAGTCGGTAGTGAGAGAAGGTTACCAAAGGGCCTTCTTTCAGCCCCGTCTCTCCCCAGCGTGGAGACGCCCACGCCCTTTCGGCTGGGGCCGGGGCAGCTGCCGGAACGGGCCAATGGCCGGGAACCCTGACCATTAAAGCAGCCTCAGGTGAGGATCCCCAATGGGATGGTGTCGCCTCTGCCCAAATCAGCTGCTGGGTTTGATGCTCGGGTTCAGGGGAATGCGCTGAAGGAGAGGTTGAATTCTGAGCCAGCGGAGTGGCCTCTACCGCTGCAGGTTTCAGGCAGAGGGTCCCCTTTTAAGCATCCATCTACCATTTAAAGAAAGAAAGAAAAAAGCAGACATACGAAACCATTTTTGTGCACAAGTCAAAAAGCTCCCCACCACCTAATACTTGTGTAGAAAACAAGGAGTGTGTTGGAAGAATCCAAAAAAAGCCAGGATCTGTAGGTGATGATAGGCGCCTGATGAGAGCAGACCCTCTGGGCTCTTGGGCCAAGGCGGAGGCACGAAGGCAAGGGGCTTCGGGGGGCCAGGAAGGATCCAGGGTGTCACATCTGTTGTCCAGGTTCAGGGAGAACACAAGCCCTTTGCAACCTGGGACCTGTCCGTGGTCCTGAAAGCCCTCGCAGGGCCTGGCCCTCTTTCCTCTCCCTTGAGGACGAGGTTCTCTCTTGTGTATCGCTTTGGCCCCTTCCTGCAAACCTCCTCGCTGCTCTTGGGACTCAGTTTTTGTTACTGGAGGGAGGGAAGGGAGGGAGCTGGGCCACTAAGAAATATGACCAGGATGGAGCCACAAGGCGCACCTGCTGGGACAAGGAAAATAGGAACAATAATTGTGTGCCATCAAATTGTTTCTGACTTAACGGCAGTCCTTCCCAGGGTTTTCTAGCTAGAGAGTATTCAGGAGCGGTTTGCCCTTTCCCTTCTTCCAGGGGTTCCCTGGGGCCCTTGTGCCGCTCGCCCAAGGCCACCCAGGCTGGCTTCTCCCTCAGGAGGCCCCGCGGGGAACCACATTCCTGACCTCTGGCTCTGCAGTCAGAGACCTCACTCACTGAGCTAGCCAGACAGCTTTGGGATAAAGATAAGACTACCAGCAAAGAGACAGAAAATGTTTGTGATGAGTAGTAAAAAAAAAAGGGGGGGGAGGAGAGAGAACGTCTCTCCCTGCACCAGAGACATGGGGCAACAACTGTGGGCTGGCCGAGCAGATGGAGGAGAGGCAGGCGAGAGAGGCATGAGATCACCGAGAGCCAGCCGGTTGCCAGAGCCGCGTGTCCAGCTCAGTGCAGCTGGCAGGGTGCATACGTGCATGCATGCAGGGTGGAGGATGTTTGGTATATCTTGGGAATGGTTATGCCTCTCAGGTCTTCCTGTTTCTCGCCTCCCTTCGTCATGAGCCCCCACTGCAGCCCCCAGGACTTACCTCTGCTTCTTAATCCACCAAGCCATCAGCAGGGGAAATGGGACACCGTGTGTGTGTGTGTGTGTCAGCTGCTAGACAGTTGGGCGATAGCTGCCAGCTTCTCCCGAATTTGTTCCTGGTGGACTTCAGGTGTTTCCTGTTTGCGGGGGGGAGGAGGGAGAATGAGGAAATGAAAGCTCAACAGATGCAAAAGATGTTCCATAGGGGAGGCAATGGTGGAACAGGAGGGAGGCTGTCCTGCCGGAGGCCCCTTTGCCTCCCCTGCTGACCATCACTCTACCGCCTTGGGCACATCTTGTCTGATGTCAGAAGCCAAGCGAGGCCAGGCCTGGTTAGGCCGTGGATGGGGGACCACCAGCGACTTTGGAGGAGGGTTCAGAAAGGAATCCAAGGCAGACCCAGCCTGAGCCAGCAAATAGTGGGCTTGAAGGACGTGCTCCCACTGCAGGCAGCAAAACGGGGGAACCTTGCTCTCTCTGCGGGAGAGCGTCTGCCAGCCAGAGCGGACCACCCCGGACTGGGGAGCCGAGAGGCTGATTTGGGAGAAGACAGCCTTCTGTGGCTTCCAGGGGCCCGAGATGTCCATCACACCCCGAACCTTCTGCGTCCCACCCGAGGTCAGGAGCTAAGAAGGGCTGGGCCTCAGTAGTCCTCAGAGGGGGGACCACAGGGAGCACAGCTGGCGAGCCCTCTTCCTCTGCCCGAGGTGCCCCTGGCGGCCCCCTCGGGCCTTGAGGAGGCAGCCACGATGGGGAGATCGTCCCCCCCCTCCGGCCTGGGCCTCTCCCTCAGAGGGGCAGACGGATGAGGCCCGTGATAAATGCCTCTCTTGCGTCTGTGACTTTGGCTTCTGCCCAATAAGCCGTTTCACACACACACACACACACACACAGCTTTGGCTTCTGCCCGTTAAGCCGTTTCACACACACACACCCCACCAGCATGTCAAGATTTGCCCATCTCCGGGATGTTTGTTGTTCTCCTAGGTATTCAAATTGTTTTAACTACCGCTCTATAACTCAGCCCCTTGCTTTGCTTTGTCAGCTCTAATGACAGGGTTTTGGGGAGAGTATCGATCCATCTTAAATCTCTTCTATTAAAAAAAACACACGCTGTAAATCTGCAAAGAAAAGGAATTTCACGTTCGCTCTTCCACGGCAGGAGAGGATGGTGCATTTCCTCACCTCCTTAGCTGTCGTTCCACGTTCTTAAGGATTCATTGGGGAAGAAATTTCCTGGTAGTGCAAGAATATGAGATAGAAGGGATAACTCTGGGGTGCAGAACTGCAGTCTGGCTCCCTGCATATCTCTGGACGAGGAGCCAGGAGCCCGACTAGAAGGAGCTAGAAGCCAGAAAGCCCCCCTTCACAGGAGCCCCCCCCCCAGGTCCTCATTCATTTGCTGTAGAACCTTCCCTTGGAAATGTGCTAATCTCACAGCTATTATTTTAGGGTTCCCTTGTGAGGGCATAGAGGCAAGCAGAGCGAGACACGATTAACGTCCAACGATGGGGTTGGGATGCTTCCTGAATCGCCCCAGCTGCTTGGAGTCGGAGGCTGCTAAAGACTTCAGTTCGAATGGAGCAAAAGCTGGCTCTTCCTCAGATTCCTGAGAAATGGTGGGGGTCACAAACTGGCCAAGAATATTTGCATCACCTACTGCCAGGCGGGGTTGAGGAGGGGAAGGGAGGTGGGCTGTCAGATAACAAGGCAGAGAAATGTCCGGGGCAAGTGGAGAAAGGCAGAGGCAGAGAACGGAACCTCCTCTTGCTCGGAGAAGGGCTTCCTTCCATTCTGAGGTGCCTGACTTTGGCCCCAGGAGCCCCCCCACAACCAGGATAAAGGGGGAGGGGGTTGTGGTGCTCAGCCCCTGCCAGGAGGCCACCAGGCTGGGGAAGGGTGAGGGTAGAGGAAGGGAGGGAGGGACGAATGAACGAATGAATGAACTGCAAGGCTAGACCTGATGGCTACACATTTAAAAGATCCTTGGAATAAACAGGGAAGTTCTGGCCAGCGGAAGGACAGCAGGCGAGAGAATCTGGGCCCTGTCCTCCGGGTGCAACAGGGTCACCTCCCTCCCTCACCTGCCTCTGGTGTGCAAGGCAGAGCAAACACGGCAGGCAAACACAGAGCTGTACCTTTGCCTTTCCAAACAGCTTCAGGGCTTGCTTGTAATAACCCACGGCCTGGTCCAGGTGGCCCTGGGAGAAGTGAGTCGCCCCCAGGGCTTCGCAGGTGAGGGCTTCCCCAGAAGAGTCACCTGGGGGAAGAAGGTGCAGAGAGAGCTCCGTGACTCTCAGGAGGAGGATCCGGAGGGCTGCTGGGTTGGCCTCAAAGCCTACCGGGGGTCTCTCTCCACCACCCCCACCCCCACACACAGAGACCACTTTCCAACATGGCTCCACTCTCTGGCTTGCAAAGGAAAGGGAAAGAAGCAAAAAGTGGACAAAACTGGACAAAACTGGCCTCTCTGTATGTCTGTTGCCTCCCTTGTTGAAGAAAAGCCACTTTCTCTCCAGCTTTGATTATTCGGTCTGCATCTTGTCCACAGGAAGAAGGCAAGTTTGCCACACAGGCTGTTGGGAGGGCACACACAAGCACATCCCTCACGAGCTTTTCCCTTCCACCAGGTCCAGGAAGGGTAGCCCATGGCAGCCGCGCCTCCATGCCTGGACCTGAAATCCGGACCTGGCTCCCCTTGCCCCAGGGATCCCCGGTGAGCCTGACTCTGCACCGGGAAGCCCAGGAGATGCAAACGTTCTCTCAGCCACCCAAGGAACCATCCCGTGAGGGAGGCTAGCGGCTTCCATCCTGCGGAGTGGTGGTGCAAATTCACATTGCATTTGCTGCCTGTAGCAGGGGCCTGGATTTGATGGCCGAAGGATCGACCCCTTCCGACTCCATGATTCTGGGCCCATCTGTTGCCTGGTGCAGGCCTGCAACCCACCCGCTAAGGAACCATTGATGCACCTGGTCAGAGATGCTCTTTAAAAATTGTATACTTTGCAACAGACCAGAGTGTTTTCCATGATCAAGTGATCAATGAAACCAAAGATGGCATTCCAAGCCTCCACACTCAAAGACCATCGGCCACCAGAGCTCAGTAAGAACTCCGAATTCCAGGCTCCACTCGCCAGGACAGCTAAGAGCCCGCCGGAGGCTGGAAGGATCTGGGACTTATAGGCTCCACGCATGCATGCACACAAAATGGGGGGTTGTCTATGCTTTGCTCACAGGACAGGCTGGTTCCATCTCTTACCTGTCTCTGCAAAAGCCTTCTGTGTCTGCTGGTAGTAAAATTCGGCTGAGCTGTAGTTTTTCAGCCGGACGTGAGCAGTGGCCAGATTGTAGAGGCACTGGGCCTGGGCGGTCCTCTGGCCCGCTCCGAGGGCACCTGGCAAGGAGGAGGTCGGCATCAACAGACGGAAGTGGGCACACAGATGTAAATGCATGGATGCGTTTGCTGGAGCTTGAGCAAAAGGAAGCCGTTCCCTGCTTAGCTGCGACCCATCCTCTTAACCAGGCCTGTTGTCATGCCAGGAAGTGTGTGTGCCCCTCTGTGTCTAAAATCCTAGGTTTTGAGGCCCCCAATCCTGCCCCAAGAACACCTGCACCCTGTGACTGGAAGACGCTGCGCCAGGGAGCACAGATCTGAATCTGGACTTCTCCACAGACCCAAACCACAAGTCCATTAGCCCAAGCTGGGCCCATTCAATTTGGACTTTGGGGTGCCTCTGAATCCAGTGCTTTGCTCTCGTTCTGGCCTAGATGCATCAGCGCATCAATGCTTTCAAGCCTCAGCCGGCGCGCATGACGGGGCAGGACGGCCTTCTGTTCCCTTTGGCCACCCACCCACCCAGTCCGGCTGGAGCAGGTCGACGTGCATGCACGACCCACCGTAGATGTCGGCGGCCTCGCTGTGGAAGCTCAGCGCCCTTTCGAACTGCTCCAGAGCGTTGTAGACGGCGCCCAGGTTTTGCAGCAGGACAGCCCTTTTCTGCCCTGAAACGTTGTCCCGGCGGCAGAGCTGCAGAGCCTCGTGGAAATATCGCTCGGCCAGCCTGAAGAGACCCGTTTGCGCATAATGGAGCCCCAGGTCATTGTAGAGTTTGCCTGGAATTGGGAACGTGTGAGGAAACCTGCTTTAGCCCGAGAGGGCTTCAGACTCGAGGTCAAAGTAGGATGAGGGGAAACCAGGGAGGGGGCGACCAGGAGCAAGCCTGGTGGGTTTTCAAAGTATGGACCGTCCCTTGCCACCCCACCCCTGGTGAGTTTGTGGCTGAGCTGAGATTTGAACTCAGGTCTTCTGAGTCCTCCTCCAACACTCTGCCCACCACACGGCCTCTCACCTGTCCTTAGGTCTCTCCTTGGCCCTGAAGCCCCTCCCGGTCCAGGATCTACCTTGCAAGTTCTGGTTGGTGATCCTCGCGCACGACTGGCCACACGCTCGCAGGGCCCCCAGGACCTCGTCTTGGGAGGACTCCGGACTCCGCAAGAGGTAGTTGGCCGCTTCCCTGAAGGCCATGGCGGCCTCTTCCGGCAGCTGCAACCTCTGGTACGTCTGACCAGCCAGGAGGAAAGAGCGTGCGGCCGAAGGCGCCTCCCCCAGGCTCCCCAGGCTATAGGACAGCTTGACCAAGGCGTCGCCAACCCCCCGGCCTTGGCTCGCGCTGTAACCCTGGAGTGCCTTCCGGTAGAACTCCGCTGCTCTCTGGGGCTCCCCCAAGTTTTCGTAAGCCATGGCCAAGTTGAAGTAGAGGCCGGGGTCTCTCTCTCCGGTCAATCTCCCGGCCTTCTTGAGGCACTTCAGGCCCTTCTCGGCTTGGCCGGTGGCAACGTAGGTCGCCCCGAGGTTGAAGAGGCAGGTCGCTCGGGTGTGAGGTTCCCCAAGGCGGCTGGAGAGCAGGTAGGCCTTTTTGAACCTGGCCAGGGCATGGGCCTCTTCGCCGGCCTGGAAAGAGGCGATTCCCTCCCTCAACAGACTCTCGGTTTCCTTTTTGGCGACGGGCCCCGTGTGGCCCTCGGGCCGGCCTTCCATCGACTCGGAGGACGGAGCAGAGGCCATTGAGTCCGAAGTGGGTCTTGAAAGGAAGCTGTTTTTTAAAAAAGCAGATGGTTGCTTCAGTCACAGGAGCAACCTTGGTCCTCCCCTTGATCCCTGGGGCTTCTTGCTTTTGTGCTGCTAGATCTCAGACCTGGGTGGAGGAACAGGGTTGAGGAAGCAGGTACTACAATGCCCATGGTCCCCATCATGGGACTGATGAGCATTGTTGTCCAGCGATATCTGGTGGGGCACACAGGGTACGTCCCCCATTTCAGACCCAGAGCCGTCTCTCCCTCCTGAGGCCATGAGTTCCACAAGCCAACAATGCCTTGCACGCAGATGTGTCCCATCCTCCCCGATGCTCTCGGCCTGCAGCGAGCATCGGCAGACAGGAGGCGGCAGGGTGTCTCCCACAGACAGAGGTGTGGCCCCCAACGCCCCGCCTGGCACGGCCCTGCCCGGTCTCTGCCGGCCACCCACCCACAGATCACCGTGGATCCCCTGTTGATCCCTGGCCTCCTGGCCCTGTCAACCCAAACCGGTCCCAGGGCACATGGCCCCGCTCCGTACCCTCAGGCCGCGGTCCTGCCGGCTGGCGTTGGCTGCTTTTTTGGCTTGTGGTTAAAATGTCTTCTCGGCAGAAAGGAGGAAGGGAGTCTGCCCAGTGGCTCTGGGAGGGGAAGGGCAAACCAATCCATAGGGAAGGGGGAAACGGGGAGCGGGCAGAAGAAACCTCTGGAAGAAGAAGGCATCCTTCGCTTGTTTGTTTGCTTGCTTTTTTCGTTGGTGGTGTAACCCTCATCTCCAGTAACCGTGGGAACCCATCCGCTTCCCTTAAATGTTTGCCATAAACATACACTTGGAGGAGTGATTATGTCATGAACAGGAGCGTCTCCTTCCGTGTAATTGTGTTTGTCCCCTTGGGCAAACAAGACGTTGATGTAAAATTGTTGATTGAGGGGCTGTGGTTTCTTTTGCGGGGGGGGAGAGGCTGTTGCTCAGCATAACAGCCGGGGTGGCGGCAAGATCTGCCGTGGGGACCGTTTTCTGGCTGAGGTGTGTTTCTCTGTGCAAGAGGATGGCGGAGAAGGGAAAGCAAGGGCATTCTGCTTGCAAAACCCTAAAGTCGCTTTTCCTTTGCAGAAAGGACCCTCCAGATAAGTTGGACTACGATTCCCATCACCCCCAGCATGGCCACCTGGCACTGAGGGTCGCTGTTGCACGAGACGTCCAGCCGGATCGCGCCCGCCTCCTCTGGAACAGAGTTGGGACTGAAGAAAGAGGCCTGTTGTAAGTTGGCATAAGGATGCCAGGGCCCCGCTTGGCATCTCGGCATGGGTAGGAGAGCCAGAACGGTGCCCACAGGACTGTTTATTTTTTTTTGGGGGGGAGGACTGTGTGAGGATGCCAGAGAGAGCAGGGCAAGGCAGGGCTCCTGTCCCTCCCTTTGAGGGGAGTTGCAGCGGGCGTGGTGGGGGGCGCGAACCTCTCCCAGTTCCTCCAGGCTGCTCCGGAGAGCGTCCTGCCTGCGTTTCTTGGCTCTCCTGGCGGCCAGGGAGCCCTCGGGCTCTCGCTGGCGACTGGGAGGGGGGGGCTCCTGTCCCTCCCTTTGACGGGAGTTGCAGCGGGTGTGGTGGGGGCCGCGAACCTCTCCCAGTTCTTCCAGGCTGCTCCGGAGAGCGTCCCGCCTGCGTTTCTTGGCTCTCCCGGAGGCCAGGGAGCCTCGGGCTCTCGCTGGCGACTGGGAGGGAGTTTGACCATCATGAGCCTAAGACCACCACCCCACCCCCCACCCCGGTTGAAGGATGCGCCCATGGAGACACAATGCCAAGTGCCTCGTTTGGGTTGCCTTTGGCAACAGGTGATGGGCGGGGGGGGGACCCCTTTTAGCCGAGGGGCGGAATTCAGAGACAGAGAAGATCCTGGTGGGCGGAAGGAAGGGAGGGAGGGAGGGAGGGAAAGAGGGACCCCCACCCACTCAGGATGGCAGCACATTCTGGCTCAGCTCTTCTTGCTATGTACGAGGCCTTAGGGACAGGGCTTTGGACCTTTTAGAAGGGACGGCTATGGAAGACGGGAGGGCCCTTCAAGGGGTGACAGGGTGTGGCCGCCGAGGGGGGGCAGCAAGGCTGTTTGTGGCGGTTGGGACCCCTAGGGCTTCTGGGGTGGGGGTGGGGGTGCAGGGACCATTCGTGTTTGGCTGCAACTCCTACAGTCTCCCCTTGATGTGAGTGGGGATGATGGGGACGGTAGTCTGGGACCTCTAGGGAGCTGGAGGGGAAGGAGGAGGGGGATCGCACGCAGGGAGAGCAGAGCTTAGAAAGGTGATTCTTTTGGACTACAACTGCCAGTGGAGTCGGCTGGGTGTGTGTGTGTGATGGGAACGGTAGTCCAAAAGAGTAGCCGTTCCAAGCTCTGAGGGTCAGGAATACCAGCCCTGCCCGGCTGGACCGACCATCACCCACCACCTTGCTTCGTTTTCTGCCTGACCTCAAGTCAGCCGGCTGG